GTCTAGGCTTTCAATCAGGATATAAAGCGAAAAGGCGCTACCGTAAAGACTGGTGTAAAAGCGCAAGGAAATTTATGCGGCGGATAGGAGGCGGCTGGCTTGACCGCGGCTCACAAATGACGGCTCACTTTACCGCGGTGGCATAAAATAGTGTGCAGGTGATACAAGATCGCAGTCTGTCCTATTTTATTTTCCACATCTAAAATTAGGTTACAGTCAAATTCCAGTGAAGTGTCTGCGCTGCAGTGTTTACCTTTGCAAGCTAGAGCCAATCAAACTGTGGGTCAGGCTGATAAGGAATAACGTCCAGTCCCACATAAAGAGGAACACCTGGCCACTCAGCCTCCTCCTCCTTATATTTATTACACATAAAGAGGAAACTGTGGTAGATTTTGCGCGTTAAAAAAATAATCAGAGAATGAGGCCAAATAAAGTTGAAAAACTACAGGCTACATTTCACTGTGTGTTATACTTGTATAACTATGCATGTGACAAATAAAGAACCTTGAACACGCACCACTTTACAAACACGGCAAAATCACGACTTGATTCCGAAACCGTGAGCAAATGTGGACATGTTTCTTCAAGCCGTGCAGCAGATAGTTAAGAAGACCGTGATGTAATTACTGGATTATTACCTGCACTGATCAGTAGAGAAATTGCTCCAGCTGTCGTCACCTGGGAGTATCTCGTGGTTTTTGGGAGGTGGAGGTCTCTCCAGCACGATGATAGCGAGCAAAACTCCCAAAATAGTCAGACATGCCACAATCGCAAGTAGCTTCACGCAGCTGGTCTAAGAAGGTGAGGTTTGAGAGGAAGAGAGCTTTAAGAGTAAGAAAGGTCACGAAAGCGCATAGTTTGCTTTTTAATGTTTGATGCTGCCCTACCCTTTTGTTTGAATCGTTACTGTCATCAAGGCTGCTATACGAGGAGGTCATTTTCCCCTTTCAAGTGCTGTTAGAGACCAAAAGCAGGACGTTACCGTGTCGGACAGAAGATAAACAAATTAGAGCTCACATCTGTGATAAGAACCAAATCATCTTCATTTCTGCAATTATTCCAGATGGTTTTCATTTTGGAATTGGATTCATTTTAAAGTAATGAAAAGAAACTTACAGATTGAACTCTTTAAAAGTTTCTTCTACGCCAACTTGATTGTTTTCTTCCTCCAAACTTCCCCCCAAATATGAGCAGAAGTGAATTCTGATGCTGAATATATCACAACATAGTTCCCATTTTCAGTTTCGTTTCAGGTTTTTGGGGTAGTTCTGTAGCATGGGGAGGGGTGAGTGTAACAAGAGATGACAAAAAGCAAAACAGGTTTACTAATCACATTTATTTGGAAAAAAACAAAACATATCTGACATCTTACACAAATAACCAAACATAAATAACAGCTATCAAATTACAACCAAATCATTTGGGTAGGGAAGGAATGGAAACAGAAACTGAAGATCCAAAACAGGGGACAGAAATTTGATACACACATTTTAAATCTTCAGCGGACCGTGTCGGACTAAAGCTAAGTGGAAATACTATCCCACAGAAGATGAATAGCAGCAACGGGTTGAGAATGACAAGAAGAAAAACATTCAAATTTTGCTGGAGTCTGTAAACAACCACTGTACTCGCCTGCATGAAACTTTATCCCATGCAGCTAATGTGGCACTTTTGTAGGTACTTCCCATTTACAATCACATGCATGGTCCAGACTAGGAAGAGGGAAACTGAGAAGCTTGCCGGAGTTCCCTGCTTCGGCCTCCTGTGTCAGCATCGGATTCTTACAATCTTTCACCGGAGAGTCAAAGCTTTCAGTTTGCAGCGTATCGGCTTAAAGAGGGATGACGCTGTACTACCTCAGTGCAAAAAGACGAGATTGAGAGGTAACCTGTAGGACGTGTAGACGATCTTTAGACATTTACACACACGTTAACAAATCAGCTGCTATCATCAAAATTTTTTAACAATTTCATCCAATTTACTTGGTCATAAATAACATTACATCTCTCACGACTCGAAGGGCCGAGGTGTCGTGCAGAAACAGATAAAGACGACACATTTCTCGTCCTTGAAATCGTGTTCGTCTTTGGACAAAGCTTGGAGCCAAATTTTGCTTGAGGCGTGGAAAACAATCCAAAGCTCCCAAAGTGTTTGACACAAATATAAAAATAAGAAATTTTACAAAAGTTAGAAGGGCTGGGAATACTCTAAAGCTGCAGCCAGAGTTTGTGATTGCTTGCTGATTTACTTATAGAGCCCACCCGTTCCTCCATTTAGATTGCACACTCCTGAAGTGGATTTTTTTCACCCTCTGTTGGACAAAAGCGTAGTGCTGACGAGGGAAATAGTACCAGCGTGCACACAAAATTGGCTTGTAGCGATTGCATAATAGTAACAAACTATTCTGGCACAAAAGGCGACTAACTCGCACCTACAGCTGTGCTGTGTCAGTTACAAAATACCAGTGTCTCAGGAAAAAATCCCCTAAAAAATACATTTTCATTCTACCCCACAAAGAGGAAGGAGGCAAACAAAAAACAATAAGCGTGGGGAGTTACTGAGGATGGAGCACACAGCATATCAGCATGTGCGAGTATTAACTTTAGTTCTTGCTATTATAAAAATAAAATACTTCCTCAATGATGATTTGTCACTAAACACACATGTTTGTCGTATCTGAAGACTTCCCTGGGACGATTATGTTCAGGCTTGTTTTTCTCTGGGCAGCTAATTATGATGAGCTTTTATTAAAGAAAAAAAAAGTGCTGGTGATAACAACATTGGCAAATAATGACGACTATCTGTAACACACACAATCAAGTATAGCTTTGTGGTCTCTCTCAGTGTGTTACATCCTTACACAGGTGGGTGTGCTTATAGTGCAGTAGTGTGTGTTTGTGTGTGCAGGAGGATGCACTTCTGTGAACAAAGTCTCACTTCCCTCCTTTGGGTTTCCTTTGTGCGCACAGAGGTCTGGCACCTGGCTGTTTGGAGTGGACTGGCTGGACCTGCGTGTTTGTGCCAGATCTCAGACTAAATATCCCTCTCTGACATCGTCTGGGGTCGCAGCCGCTCTCCTGACCCTCTCGCTGGGCCTCGGGCCACCGCCACGCTTGAAAATGGAGTGCACCGTTCTCCAGTCTCGTGAGGAAGAATGCTTGCTAGTGTGAACTCCAGATGAGGAGGAGACTGCAGTGGCTGAGGTCTTGGTAGCTCCAGGCTGCCAGCTGGGCTCCATGACTGTGTTAATGACTAAAAATTAAAAAAAAAATAATTGAAATTAGTCATCAGCCACAAGAAAATTATTTTAAAATTATTTCCATTTAAATAGTTTCTAAAGGGTCTGAATGACTCACCTTCGAGTTGTCTCTGAACTCTCCTGAGTTCTTTCAAGATAGATGAGATTTCCTGAAACACAGACGTCTAACTTGGCTCAAACATGCAGTGTTTACAAGCATGCGTTTATCCTGTCATTCAACCCAAAGCACACTAACCTTGTTGGATGTTTTTGCAAACGGGACATTATTTTCAGAATCGACCTTGGCCTCAATCTCTTCCCAGATATCCACTCTGTCCTGGAACATCACCCTGTGTGCAGAGGTGCCTTTCAGTCAACGTTCTGCTCTCTGACACTGATCATTTTGCAGAATTTATCACAGCAAAAGTAAGCCACAGCTTTCGTTTGACGTCTGAAACATTACCAAATAACGACCAGGAAAAGACAAGCTGAAGCCGCATGTAGCAGAGGAAACAGTTTTTTCATCTGTGTCTCATTTACTTAGATTAGATCTCTGCTCTTGGGCCCATATCGTCAGCCAATCTGTCTGTGAGCTGACTCACTAAGTTACAGTAATTAAATTAGAGCTGATGCTCACTGCAGTCTGGCTGTCAGACAGGATCAATAAAGTTTTTCATCAAAGCCAGATCAGGAATGGAAAGAGAGGAGTTTAAGTGTTCATGGTGTCTGCTCTTCTTAGTATCTTACTTCATTTTGTCAGCGAGCTGCTCCGTGTTTTCTCTGATAGCAATTATGACCTGAGACACCGGATTCAGCATCGCAGTGTCCACAACGCCCTGAGGGGGACAACAATAAAACACTTTTATAAAAGAGCTCTCGTTACAGGATATCTAAAGGAGAAGCAACCGATCATGTCTGACCTCTTCTCTGCTCCTGGAGTTGTGTTCACGGTCACTCCAGCTCTGCTCAGCTTCCCCTAATGGTGCAGAACTTGGGGGGACTTTCTGGTAACTGTTAGCCTCTGAAACATGCTGATCAAGAAAAAGATGAAATAAAGAAATACGTTTTTTATTTTTTAATGGCAGGTAAATGCATTAGAAGACTTGGTGTAACTATGGTTTTCCTTTATTTTATTTAAAAAGAGATGACTAGAATCATCTTCATCTGAGCTCTTTCATCGTCACTTTGGGCTAATATCGGTCTATAAGCTATGAATCACTGTAAAATTTTAAAATGTGGTGGAAACCACAAAAAAAATGTTTAAGTCATAAATGGTCCCATATAATTTTCAATTATGAGCCAATTCCTTTAAAACAAATACCAAAGCTGTAAGAGAGGTAAACAAATCCATAGCAGGAAATGGCTTTACAATTAAAAACATCATAACAGCACATGTTAACACATGACTGCTGTCACAAATGCCCTCACTCGTTCACTTGAAGCTTAAGGTAACAACGGTACCTGTTCATAAGAAGCCGCCGTGGAGCCTGGTGCACTGCACTCCTCTCCGGGCTCGCCATCACCCGCTACATCGTGGATCTCTCTGGCTAATATTGCCAAGTCTTTGGCCAGATCTTGACTCAACCTTCAATAAAAAAATTAATAAATCCATATTGTATTGAATTTAAGTATTCCTTTTAAACCAATTCTCCACAACAAAGCAAATATTTTTGCAAGAAACTAAAGGAAATATCCAATAAAATATATTCAAGTTTAGTGTTGCAGTGAAGTAAATGAACCGTTTGAAGAGATAAAAATCATCATCTACTGTGATTTTTCACACAACCCTTAACTAATGAAACAAAAATAAATGCTTAAAACTGTTTGCGTTTGCTGGAAAACCCAAGTATTCACACCAGAAACGCCCAGCCTGTCATATTTCTTACCGTGCAATCTCAGCACTGTGTGTGGACCAGTTGTGGAAGGCATCTCCCTCGTTGGTCTCCTCTTCAGAGTCTCTGCCGCGGTGTTTCGGGCGCAGGGCCACGATCGGCTGCGGCCGAACCGGATTGCGTGGGCTATGAGAAGCTGAGGAAGGTTGGGAGCGTTTGTGTTTAGGAGTGCTCTGGTTTGAGTCGTACTCCTCATCTGAGGTAGAGGTATAGTCAGAGCCTTTCTGTCGTCGCCTAGAGCCTTGGTGTTGTGAATTGGTTAGAGTTTTGGAAGACGAGGACAAATAAGTTGGGAAAACAGGAGAGAGAGAAAGAGATGCCATGAAAGAACCACCAAGAAAAAGAAAAAAACCCACTGAGTGTTTTAATAGAAACCCCCAAAACATTTCCCCGAACAAGAGACACACATGATGCTGTGGAAGTCTTCATGACTTTCCAACAATTTACTGTTGTTGTTTTTAAGGGGGGGTCTGAACCAAACTCAAATGAACACTAGACTTCCACAGTACAGCGGCTGAGTACAGATAGGAATAAATGAGTTTAAAAATAATACACGTTGATTTGTAATGTGAAACATATTGTGTTAAAGTCAGGACCAGTAATACACTCTCAAAGCATGGCTGCATAAAGAAACGGCAATCCAGCCTTCACTTCAATGAGTGTACACTGTGCAGATGAAAGATATTGAACATTGGAGAGTTAATATTAGTGTTAGTTTCCTTCACACACAGCTGTTGTTTGATGAAAAAGTTCTTAATTGCAGAGCTGAGAAATCGGTTATATTAGCTGAGACTTATAAAGGCTTCAGACCAATTCTCTGTCATGTCTGACACACATTGCAGGCATGTCATTCCCACAATGCTAAATCAGAGTTCATTTTTATGGCTGATAAGGCCCTGCACTTACATATATAAGAACAGATGGTGTGTAAGTGCCGGTACTATACTTACTTGCTGTGCTGCTGGCATATTTGGCACTGCTGGAGCGAACACGAGTGATTGGAGTCCTGTTGAGTGCTGCCTTCTGTGGCCTTTCTCCCGGCTTTGGCCCTGGACCGGAGGCCCTACGAGTGGAGCTGACACCCAGCTCTGCGCTGCGGTTGGAAAATCCTGTGCTTCTGCCTGTCCACTGTGGGG